TTCAATTTCTTCTACTACCCAGTCGCTTTTCAGCAAGACGTTATCCAGTTTCCATGTATTTGACTTTACTTCCTTTGTCTTCCTAGTGTTGATTTCTAATCTGATAGCATTGTGGTCTGAGAAGATGCTTTGTACTATTTTGATATTTGTAAATTTGTGGAGATTTGTTTTATGGAGTAAGACATGGTCAATTCTGGAGAATGTTCCATGTGCACTGGATAGAATGTTTATTGCGCTGTTGTTGGGTTGAATGCTCTGTACACATCAATGAGGTCCAGTTGGCTGATTGTGTTGTTTAGTTCTTCTGTGTCTTTGTCAAGTTTCTTTCTGGTTGTTCTATCCATTTTTGAAAGCGGTGTATTAAAATCACCCACTATTATTTTATATTCATCTATTTCTTTCTTCAAATCTATTAGGGATTGCTTTATATATTTTGGAGCTCTTTCATTGGGAGCATAGATATTTATTACGGTTATTTCATCTTGCTCTATTGTCCCTTTAATCATGAGATAATGTCCATCTTTATCTATTATGCTGGGTTTTGCCTTAAAGTTTATTTTATCAGAGATTATTACTGCCACTTCTGTTTGCTTTTTATTGTGATTAGCTTGGTATATATTTTCCATCCTTTGACTTTTAATCTGTTTTGTCTCTGTGTGTGTGATGTATCTCTGGCAGACAGCATATTGAAAGATCTTGTTTTCTTATCCATTCTGCCACCCTCTCTCTCTTAACTGGTGCATTTAATCCGTTTATATACAGTGTAATTATCAATAGGTATGGATTAATTGTTGCCACTATCTTTGTTTTTTTGTGATGTTGCTGCTTTCTTTGTTCTGTGTGTTTTCCTTTGTTAAATTAATGCTTTTTGTGTTCTTTTATGTGAGTTTTATCTTAGTGGTATTGAGAGATTTGTCCTCCAGCTCACTAGTTCTGCCTTCCATCTCTTCTATTCTATTCCTTTGTCCTTTCAATGTATTGTCTATTTCTGATACTCTTTTATTGATTGTTTGGACCTCTTTCTGTAGGTTTTGAATTGTTTCCAATGCTGTATCTATCTTATTTGATTGTTCCTGTAGTGCATTCCTGACTTCTTCCTTATTTTTCTTAACTCCATTGTAAAGTGTTTTGAAATATTTTATAATAATCATTTTTCTGAATTCCTTCTCAGGCATTTCCAAGGCCTGCCCTCCTTCCAGAATGTAGTCCAGGTCTACCTCTAGGTCATTTGTCTCAGACATTTTATCTTGTTTCTGGAAATGTGCTGATATGGTTATCTGCTTTTACTTGTTGGATATGTTTAGTGTTTATCTGTGACCTTAGTACTTAATTGAGATTGTGTTTTGGTATTTTAAAAATATTTTCTGATTGCTTCCCCATAGATGTGATCAGGACGTGGCCTTCCCTTTTCACTCTTCTTATTGCTTAACTCAGAGTAACTTCACAGATGCTGTCTGCCTCCCTGGTATATGGCAGTTGATATTCGTTCTTGCCTGGGTTTTGGTTGTAGCTTTACTATAAGGCAGCAGTTGCTGTCTCTTCTTGGGTAATATAGGGAGAAAAAGAGTCCTCCAAAAGTAGAAGGGGGAGCATAAACCAGCAAAACAGCAACAGCACACACAAAAAAACACAAGAAACAAACAAACACCAAAACAACAACAACAACAAAAAC